AGTACACTTCTCTATGCAACCTTAATTCTGGATTCCTGTGCTAACCATAATACTCAACCATATATCACTTCTAAATACTCTTAATACGTGGCATTCTACTGGATTTATGGGCCAGTCTTTGTGGAGAGCTCTTGACGCATAATCTCATAGGGAGTTGTACTGCTAACCCAAAGACCAGGCCTCTCTGACAGTGTGTATTCACCAGCCATTATGTAGGAAAAAGATGAGTAATCTCTTTCTAAGTTATAGTCTCAGAAATCTGTTAAGTGTTGTTCCAACTTAGCAGCAATGACTTTGACCCTTTGACTTTGTGGCCTAGACTGGAGGAAATTGCCTTGCTGACCCAAAGTTCCACATTTGGTGTTTTGCATCGACCGTCTGCTCCTTGGAAACAAGATGGCCTGTCTCCTTTCATATGATTTATGGTCTCAGAAACCCAGTGGAGGGTCATTTATGAGTAGGTTCTGACATGATGGCCATGATTTTTTTTTTTTTGCAAGGTTGTTAGTTACATAGTTTAAATTATTGGCACAAAGTTTACTTTAAACTTTTATCATTATTCCATTTGATAACATACATATATATGTATCTGTATCTGTATGTGTATGTGTGTGTTAATAATTATATACTAACTGCTAATTGAAAGGTCAACAGTTTTAATTCACCAGATCTTTCATGGGAGAATGATAAGCAGTCTCATTTAATAAAGATTTATGGCTTCAGAAACTTGATGGAGGGACAGCTATGAGTCAGTTTCAACTTGACAGCAATGAGTTGTGTGTGTATCCCAAAATATAAGTGTGTTATTCTTTCTTTATAATGTATATTTACATTTTATTTGCTAAATTTTACTTAGTGTTATTGCTAAACTTTTTCAGTAACCAGCTAAATTTGAGATTAAAGAGTAATATAATAGTATTATTTTGTGAGCATATGGAACTCAATAAATGGATCTTTCAATTATTTCTTGATTATTATCAAAGACAATTTAATGGAGTAGTGTTTTCCCCCCTTAGGAAGGAGAAAACATTTTTTATTTGGCAATTGATGACATCGAAACGGATACAGAGCTTTTAATTGGCTACCTTGACAGTGACATGGAGGCCGATGAAGATGAACCTCAAGTTACAACAGTAGTCAAAGAAGGTGAAGTTAAAAATTCCAAAACTCAGTCAGCTGGTGGCAGAAAAGGTATTCTATTTTTGCTTTTTAAATTGTGTTTTATATAATAATTCATATACATTATGTACATTGTTTTATACAGTCATCAATCATATGCATTATTGGTTTTTTAATACATTATGTTTTATACAATTACTATTTATCTATGCCTATTGTCACCCCATCTCTTCCAATCCTAATTGTGTCTTTCCTAGTCCTTCAGTCCTCCATCTGCCCTTTAACCTCTGCTAACACGGTGATTTTTCCTCTTCCCTTTTTTCTCTCACCATTTTTGTTTCTTCCTTTTCCCCTTTGGAACATTTATTCATATCTTGCTCAGTTATCCTCCTGTTTTCATCGTAGAGATCTTCTGTAGTATTTATCCTTATGTGACTGAATTATTTCACTCAGCATAATGATCTGTAGACTTTATCATGCTATATAGTATTTTATGGATTCATTCTTTAGGGATGCATAGTATTTCATTGTGTGAAGATACCATTGTTTTTCAGTCCATTTGTTTCTTGGCGGGCATTTGGTCTGTTACCAATTTTTTGCTATTGTGAAAAATGCTGCTAGTAATATAAGTGTATACATATCCATTCATGTATCAGTTCTGATTTCCTTGGAATATATCTTAGCAGTAGAAAAGGTGGATCATATGTGATTTCTATGTTCAGCTTTTTGAAGAAGTGCTAAACTGCTTTTTATAGTGGTTGTATCATTTTACAGTCCCACCAGCAGTGAATAAGAGTTTATCTCTCTACTACATCCTTCCCTTTCTTGCTGTGTTGTTAAACTTTGCTATTGCTGCTGAGATGTGTTGGCATCTCACTATTATTTTGATTTCTGTCTCTCTAATTGCTAGTGATTTTGAACATTTCCTCATGTGTTTGTTGGCATCTGAATGTCTTCCTTTATGAAGAGTCTTTTCCTGCGTTTTTCCCATTTTGTGATTTGGTTATTAGTTGTTTTCTTGTGGTAGCTCTGCACTATTCTATAGACTTCCATTATGAGACCCTTGTCTGAAATATCATTGCAAAATGTTCCTTTTTAGTCTGTAGGCTTTCTTTTCACCCTATTGGAGAAAGCATATGAGGATTTGATTTTAAGAAGGTCTCATTCACATTTATCCTCTCCTGGTTCTACAATTTTGGCTTTATTTGCAAGACTATACCATAGACTGTTGTTAAGTGCCGTCGAGTCGCAGGCGACTCATAGTGATCCTATGAACAAAAGTCCTGGACACCTCCTGTATAACTTTCATCCTTTTTTCCAGGTTCATAGGGTTTCCAGAGGCAAACTGTTGTGGGAGTGGATGCCACTCCTGCTTCCAAATACCATAGACCAACACTTCTAAATTTGTTGTCATTTTGTCTATTTCAAGCTTTATGGTTTTGGGATTGGCCTTTGATTCACTTTGAGTATGTATTTATGCATGATGTGTTTCCTGTTTTCATTTTCTACAGATATTTGCCCAGTTTTGCCTTTACTGTTTGTTAAAGAAGCTGGAGTTTACCCATTTAATGGATTTGTTTCCTTGTCAAATATCAGTTGACCATAGGTACATAAATTGATTTCTAGTTCTTGATTATATTCCACTAGTCTGTGTTTCTTGTACCAGTACCATTTCATTTTGACTACTATGGATGTGCTGTAGGTTTTAAGATCAAGGAGTGATATGCCTCCTACTTCATTTTTATTTTTCTGAAGAACTTTACTTATTCTGGGTCTCTTACTTTTCCAAATGAAACTGGAAATTGCCTTTCCTGTCTCCTTGAAGATGGAATTTGGTGTTGTATTGAACATATAGATTGCTTTTGTTAAATTTGCCATTTTCCTAGTGTTGAATCTTTGTATCCATGAAAAGATAATGTTTATCCATTTAGTTAAATCTTTTACTGTTTCTTGTAGTATTGTTTTAGGGAGCTCTAGTGGCCTAGTGGCAAGAAACTGCATTGCAGTCCTGAAGGCAGGCAGTTTGAGGCCACCAGCCTTTCCACAGGAGAAGGATGAGCAGTCTCCTCCTGAGCGACAAACTGTCTCAGAAAACCTGCAGGAGGGTCAACTATGGGTTGGTTCCAACTCAGTGGTATACAGGAGCAACATAATAGTAGTGTTTTGTAGTTTTCCTTTTAAAGGTCTTTTGTGAGTCATCCAGGAAATACTAAAAGAAGATAAAAGCAGTACACAGAGTCCTTGTACCAAAAAGCGTTGACTGACAGAGAACAATTTTTTGAAACAATATATAATCAGAGGCAATGGTGGTTAAGGAGGAAGTCAAACTACTCTAAAAGAACTGACAAAAAACAAGATGCCAGGAATTGACAGCATACCAATTTACATATTTGAGCAAACAGATGCTTCCCTGGACATGCTCACCAGGTTGTGCTAACAAATCTGGAGAACAACTACATGGTCAAGTTATTGGAAGAGATCCATATGTATTCCCATTACAAAATAAAGTGACCAGAGTGTGGAAATTATCAAACACGATCACTGATACCACACATAAGCAAAATCTTGCAGAAGATTATCCAAAAGTGACTGGAACAGTACACAATCAGCTATTAGAAATACAGGTTGATTTTAGAAGGCACTATAGACATCATCACAATGCCAGATGGATCTTACCTGAAAGCAAAGAGTATTAGAGGAATGTCTGTCTGTGTTTCATTGATTATGCAAAGGTGTTTGACTATGTGGATCACAACAAATTGTGGTTAGAAAGGAGTAGGAATCCCAGAACATTTGATTGTGCTCATGCAAACTTATACTTGGGCCAGGAAGCAGTTGTCAGAACAGAGCAACAAAACACTGCATGGTTCAAAATCAGTAAAGGAGTGCATCAGAGATGTATCCTGTCTCCATCTTTTCAATCTATATGCAGAAAAATGATCATTCAGGAAGATGGACTTTATTAGGAGGAATGTGGCATCAGGATTGGACGAAGACTCATCAACAACCTGCATTAGGCAGATGATACAACCTTGATTGCTGAAACTGAAGGACCTGAAACATTTGCTTCAGAAGGTCAAGGACTGTAGTCCTTGATTTGGATTGAAGCTCAAAATCAAGAAAACAAAGATTCTTAACACATGGCCAATTTGTTGTACCATGATAGGTGGAGAAGAGATTGAGATTGTTAATAATTACATCTTGATTGGCTCCACAATCAACACTCTTGGAACCAGCATTCAGGAAATCAAATATCAGTCCATCTTGTAGATTACATTTTTTTTAACTGACCCTTTACTTTAACAAACATGATGTTCTTTTCCAGGGACTTATTTCTCATGATCACATGTCTAAGTTATATGAGGTGAAGTATTAGCTTCCTTGATTCTAAGGACAATTCTGGTTGTACTCCTTCCAAAATAGATTATCCTCAAGATGTATTTTTCTTCTCTAATTTTATTTGCTTGCCTTCAGCTGGGTACCAGTATTAGACCATGTTTATCTTCTGTAATATTTCACACCTTATTTGGTTTGATGAAAATTTTAATGATATTATAGTTATTCACATTTTGCCATAGGCTAATATCTATTTTTTAAATTTTGTTTAGCAAAGCAACTTAAGAAAAAAAAAGTTTTTTCTTAATAGTAATGCTAATAACGCCTTTCATATAAATTTTCTGTTCTTACTGTATGTATGAGAATTCTTTCAGTATACTGAGTCCTTTATTTTGTTAGTGTGTTTATTTTGGGAGCTCTGATGGTAGAGCTGTGCTAGTGGCAGGGAGCTTTGCTGACATACCAAAGGTATGGCGTTCAAATCTACCTGTTGCTCCTGGGAGAAAGATTGGTGGTATATTCCTGCGTGATTTACTGCCTCTGGAATCCCACTAGATGGGCCTGTTCCAACTTGGTGGTACACAACATGTATGTTTATTCAGCAGAAAATATAGATAGGCTCAGTCGGCTTTGTTTTAAAGCATTCATTTCACTGTTTGGAATGCCAGATTTGGGGTGATAGGAACTATGTCTATGTTATTCTGTTTTTTTTTTGTTGTTTATTTTTTTTTTATTCTGTCCCTTCTAGAGATTTTTATTATTGCATCTGTTATTATCACTTGTTGTTGTTGTTTTTGTTTAATACCGTCGAGTTGTAGACGACTCATAGCGACCCTATGAATGAACAGCCTGAGCACTGTTCGTACATAGAGTTTCTGAAGGCAAGCCATTTTGGAAGTGGATGCTGCTCCTGCTTCCAGGCTTGATTTAGTCGGGAAGCTCCAGCCAACACTGTCCACCATGGGTGCCCATTACCACGATTGGCACATCACTGTCACAGGCTTCAGCATCACAGCAACCATGAGTTACCTCTGTACAGCAACGCACACACCAGTGCTATATCACCTAGAAGAATGCTTGACAGGAAGACAATTTGAACCTGTCCCGAGCGCCGCACGCCCGAGGGCCCTTTGGGCTTAAGGCTGCCTCCTGGTTCAAACCCTAGGCCCAGGCTGGCTAGCCTCACTCCAGGGACAGAGCAAACCTGCACGTCAAACACATTCCCGGAAAAGCAGTCCACTCCAAAGCTTGCCACAATTCCTGCACTCCCACCACCACGCTCCTACCTTCTGGCAAGGAGACCTTCTCAAGAGCCTGAGAGGAGCCAGCCAAACCAGAAACAACATGGCCGCTTCTTTCCCAGATGCCTTGGGCGTAAGGACGCCTCTTGGTTCAAACCCTAGGCCCAGGCTGGCTAGCCTCACTCCAGGGACAGAGCAAACCTGCACTTAGTCAACTTTAATTTATCTATAACCACCCTTTATTTTATGCTTTCTTCATGCATTTCCATTCTTTGTAAAATGAATCAATATCAATGGAAACTTAGAGACAAGCTTTTTAAACATACAAAGCAGGTACTTACATTGCTGCTGTTTTTACCAGGATTCTTAAGTGTCTTTATTTATGAAAGCAAAACCAAACAGACATAACAATCACACAAAAGAAAAAAAAGTATATAGAAGAAAGCGTCTCAAATTTAAAAACTGACAAATAAATAAATACTGTGCCTTCAGAAAATGTTAAGTAAGGAGGGAGAGAAGGCAGCTTAAAAATTGCATGTAATATTTTACCATAAATGAAGCTATGTCTATGATGGATAAAATATGTATGTACAGAAAACAAACTAGATTTGGGAAAACCTTTAACTGTGATTATCTCCTTAATCATGAAGTTAATTGATAATATTAATTTTTATCTTATCTTTCCTAGAATTTCTGACTTTATTTAATAATTAAATAGTCTTGACCTAACACATGTTGAGAAATCTGGAGTGAACTATGTCTATATAAGATACACTAATTGTAGAGATAGTGGGACCGTAAGAACATGTGCTCTAGCACATTCATTTTTTATGCCCTCACTATTTCTTCATGTATAGACTGAATATGGAGCTCTGGTGGCCTAGTGGCAAGAAGTTGCGCTGCAATCTCAAAGGCTCCTGGTTTGAGGCCAACCAATTGCTCTGCAGGAGAAGGATGGGCAGTCTCCTCCAGGGTGATTAAGAGCCTCTGAAAACCCTCTGGAGGGTCAGCTATGGGTTGCTTCTGACTCTGGTACACAACAACAACAACAACAACATGTTGTTGTTGTTCTTATATGCCTTTGAGTCGCTTGCGACTCATAGCGACCCCATGTACAGCCCTAAACTCTGCTCTGTCCTGTGCCAATCGCACTGTCTCTGACACTCCCATCCTGATTACCCCAGTCACTGAATTAATCCACCTCAGAGAGGGCCTTCCCCTCCTGCGCCGTCCCTCCACCCTCCCAAGGATGATGTCCTTCTCCAAGGACCGGTCTCTACTCACAACATAACCAAAGTATGTTAGACAGAGCCTCAGAATCCTTGCCTCCAAGGAGCCACCCGGTTTAACCCTTTCCAGGACGAATCTATTTGTTTTCCTAGCAGTCCAT